GTCTATAAGGATAAACCACTAAGTGCCATAACGGTCTTAAATTTTGTATTCATTTAAACGAAATAATTACACGTGCATTTTCTTTTAATTCTTATAAATTAATCCTTTGTTAACTTTATCCTTGATTAATATACCTGACTAATGTGTCCAGAGTGTAATAAATTATAAAATAAAATCGCTTCCTTATTTCATATTGATCACCGTCCTATTTATAGTGCGGTCCTGGTTATTACAATAGTGGTTGTGTTCGACCGGACGCTGGGTACGGTCAATTTACGACCGGAACCCGTTTATGGGACGATTGACCGATTCGGAGTCTTTTTGACAAATTTCTATCAACGGCAGTGGGAGGGTTGTTTCGGCTTTTTTGTGGCCACAAAATGGGATGGTTTGGGACGATGTTTTTTGACATGTAGCTCCAAATGGACTCATTAGGGTGTCACTTTTGGTGAACCGAGATTTGGTTTTACTAAAATAAATATATACATATTGTTTTTATTCCTATAAACAATGTATGCAAAATATTTAAATATCAGAGTTAGTTCAAATTAATGTATTCAGATTCTGATACATTACTTTCCAAATAAAATACTACCATATCAATATAATTAAACTATAAAATAGGTACATATATAGATTGGCCGTTTGGAAGCTTATTGTCAATTTTCTATCCACGGCAATAAGAGGGTTGTGTCGAGTTTTTTGTGGGCAAAAGTTGATTCGGGACATTTTTGTGCAATCTTGCAACCAAATGGACTCATTAGGATGTCAGTTTTGAAAATAATATTTACTGTCACTGGAATTTAAATAAATAAAACTATTTGTTCTTTTGTAAAGATGTGATTTAAATAGACTGATAAGATGGGTATACAAAAATATATTTAGATATAACAAAATAATATATACGTACGAAATATGTACCTGTCCATTTATCTGTTTGTTTATTAAGGCGAACTTGATGGTAAGTGGTAATCATCACCTATTTACATAAACACAATGTTATCGTGCGACGCCCGTAGTAGGTACTCATATATTGCTATTCTTGAGAACTAAGTTGGCCTGCCTCCCTACTGTTATTGCTTGCGCGGCTGTTGTAGGTGAGATTGCCTCAAACTCGCCTATTATTGACGAGATTGGGGCGGAATCCACGGAAACGCTTTGTACAAAGCATTTCTGTGTTAATTATTTCAACTTAATAAGCTGCCTACGCATCTGATTCATAGTGTTAATCCGAATGTCTATAGCCGGACATAATAATAATAACCCTGGACAATTAAAACAGCGCCATCTATCCCTAAGTTAAGCAGATATTGTGTTATCGTTACCTTAAATATTTTGATAAATGCATACATAATATACATCGAAAACACCCAAATTGATACAAATGATCATATTCATGAATAGAAATATTTGTGCCATGCGAGAAATCGAACCTAAGACTACTGAAAGTAAAGCGGTGTACTAAGACTGCCGAGACCAACATTCTCATATTATATTTTATATGCATCACATAATATAGCCCGTGATAAATCTCATGGTCTGCATTTTTGAGGACTTTAAAAAAATACCTACAATATTAGCGAGTAACAGACAATATTCCATTCGAGCAACACCACAGCACACAGCTAATCTAGTATAATTTTCAACTGATATTCGATACGAAAAGATCTATCTATAATCTAAATAGTTTTCTACAATTTTATAGTTTAATTTTCAAATGAGAAGATATAAAATTATTTCCACTAAAAACTATCAAAAGAAACATATGAAATGGGACGATCAAAATATATTGTAAGATCCCACGATATGAGATTTATTTCAATGAATATTAGGTTTCCATGATGAAGGAGATTATTGCTTCTCTAAAGGCGTTATTACGTTATCAAATATATGAGATCATATTTCATGTACAGTTATAAATACAGGATAGAAAGTAAATTTTTATAAGAAACATAACAAAATAATACAAATAATTATAAACAAAAAGAATACTCATTATAAAATATTACGGTATTAACAAATTAATGGGAATTAATAAGTAATACTAAAGCTTCAAGTATATAAGTAATACAATAAATTTTAACATAAAGACGTTTGTCATCTATAAATAGAATAGGAATTAATGATTATACAAATAAACCCAATATATTTGTTTATCATCATATGAAATAGAGCTTATTGTATAATATCATAATTGGATAAAATCCCGAATGTAAAATGTACAGATAAATCAGTACTGAAATTGAATAATAATAATATCTAAGGTCAATTTACACAGCGCCAACTAGTCCAAAGCTAAGCAGAGCTTTTGTTAGAGGTGATTAAGTTAAACTCAATGTTAATACTGGTTCTTTGATACAACACTGACATTCCGATCACATACAATTATTAACAACTGTACCCTTCATTTAACATGAAGTCCTACACATAAAAGTAGTAATCCCAGACTACCACTATACCCGAACACGTGTACGCGGCGCTTTAGATTTCAAGTGTGATACAGACATTACCTAATTGCCATGTTCGAGTTGAGAAAATAACACTTAGCTACACCTCCGGACAATAGTCCACCACACACGTTGTTCAATCATCGATAGCTTTTGTTTTTACATCAATAATAACGCTTTTTTTTCTTGTCTCGATGATTTGTGGCGACAGGACGGAGTCACAATGAGGCTGGTGGGATGCGGGCGAGAGAATGGCACTTATTGTGGCTTAGATGCTTTTGTGTCGGCACAAGTGTTAAATGAAAGATTTCTTGTGAACCATCCTTTACATGGCACTAGGAAGTCGTTTAGTTAACTTAGATTTATATATATATATGAATGTAATGTTATAAATATTCTTTATTTACTGCACTAAAGTGTAACAATACGTTAATCTTTATCATTCAGTAATCGGTAATATGAATGAATCAATTAAAAAAAAATACTATTGTTTTATTAAATAAAACAAACGAAGAGTAAATGATGCAGAACGTCACATTAAAACAAGGATAGACAACAACAAATTAATTGAAGTTGAAAGCAACAGCAGAATTAATAGGTGAGCAAGCACGCGATACCGATCTATCAGTTCAAAGGCTCTGCTTAATGAATCAAACGACAGGCGACTCGCAACACCTCTTTTGTGGTCGGACAAAATTGACTTTGACGAAGCGAACGAAGCTGAAATAACCGATCGTGTCGAACCCATTGTGCGTGATATAAATAGATAGAATGGAAATAAACACGTGGTGGCAATTATCGCAGCAGCGGGTTAAATGAGGCACCGAGAACCGCCGTTAATGGGTACACCAAGCCCGTGGCATCCGGCGGCGCGATCCTTCCACTCGTACGGTGCACAAACGAATGGACTTCCGAGAAAACATCTTCATACTACCAATTTTATATTCAACATAACGAGTTACACAATCACTATAAATAAGACGTAGAAATAACATGTTTATTGTGCAGGTAAAGGCCCTTTTAAATAAATTGAGCAGGCCAGTGGCGCATCCATCTTCATGCAAAAGATTTAAGGAACGCGAAATTGCAGATCTGCTGCGTTTTCGACAAGGAACAAAAGCCTCAAAAGACACTCGCTCTCACAATAACAAAGTATAAAATATTGCAATTGTGGCAGAGTGCTATAACAGCGTCACATCAATCAGCGTGTTAAATTCAAACTGTTTAGTAAATTAACATTTTAAAAATTTCATTTCATAAGTGTACTGCGTGTGCGAGTGAAGAGTCTGGGCGTGCCTCGAGACGCAATGCAGGAGCATTAATCATTTCAGTGGGCCGAGTCGGCCTCGGCCGCCTCCATACATCACGCACCCTTTGAGACAGCGAGCAACTCATTTGTTCAAATGTACCGTCCGGCTTTTATTAACGTACTAACATTATAAACGTCTCAATTCGTTTGACGACTTCCTGTTCGTCATTTGTCAGCGGCTCATTGATTCAGGTGCGGATTGATCCTTTTCCCATCGTCGCGATAGTGTTTTATTGTCTCCAGTTACAGAAGATTAATGTTGTCATCAAATCGACCGGCTTACGTGTCCGCTGTTGTGCAATAAATTATCATTAAGTAACACCTTGTCTCACCTGGACGTGGTTTTATGGGCTCTCGGCCGTAAAACACGGTTAATACGCCGGCTCTAATCTAATCTAAAAATTTTTACCTGCTCCTGATATAAATTCTAAAGCAGATGAACGTAAAAAAGATAGTGGATTTGTAATAAACGTAATGGAATGGCATATTCATAAAGGTGCACATGGAGCAAATGTGAATTTTATTGGCGATGTTAAAAAACTGGTACTTTTTATTGAAACCGCTCACTACAAAGTAGGATATATTGGAAAATTGTTAACTTACAAAAAGTAGTTCATGCAATTATGCAATAAAAGGGTCTCGCGTGTTGTTATAATGCTTAATGAACCAGTGCTTATAAGCCGGTTCGATAAAGGGAACGGCGGCATTAGGCGAGTGGATGGTTCAAACCGACAAGGTATAAAAGGACACTTGCAATTCAAGGGAATCATAATAAAATTACATATGTAGATGGATTCATATGATATGAATGCAGTTACCGCTTACGATAAGCGAGTCACTAAAAGGGGGATAAAACTAAATGTATTATGAGAACGGTTTATGACGCAACTATTTTCAAATAGTAGTGTAGTAAATAAGAATTTGCGAGTAAGTCATTAAACTTAAGTAGCAAGTTGTAATGGCAAAATTACTATTGACGAGGTAACAAATACGCTATAAAACGAGTTTCAACAAAATGAGTTACAGTAATATAAGATATATAGCATTCAATATGTTAAAAATTACGAGAAATAATTATATTGTGTGCGTTTACTTTTTTAGCAGTAAAAGGTAATAAAACTTAAAATAAACTTTTCCTAAAGATGATTTGGGTATCTATGTATTTGTCTCTCATAAAAACTGTAATAAAAGATAAACTACTCAATTTAACAAAAACATATTAAATATACTTTAATTTTACTTACTGAGCATGATGATGATAATGTGTGGCATGATGCATGGCTGTAGCGGATGCACCAGGAGCTGTAGACGCATGGAAGGCTGCAAAAGCCGATGGGAACTGCAGAGGCAAGAAACCTCCACTGCCAGCTGTCCCCGGACCTCCCACTGATTCCCTATCAGGCATTATTTAAATTCCTAGCACAATAACATTCTTCAGTCCTATTTTCACAGTATTTTCAACAACATCACAACCTATTTTATCACAACGTCCTTCAAAATTATTAGTTTTTTTAATACCAACACCAACTATCGTCAAGTCAACTCAAGACGTATTTCATCCATTTTTTTCTTCATTATTGCCTTTGTGTTATAATTTATGATTCGCATCGTTCATAATATAGTATTGTGCTCTGTCCAATTTTACTTGTCTCATTCTTCCGTTTTTTTATTCTGAAACAAAGAAATAATTACTGTTAATTATATTTCCGGCTTTAGTTTCGGTAGCTGCTTTGGAATTGCTAAATTAAACAGTTTTTGTTTTAGTGTAAACAAAAAGATTTAATGTGTCTGTGTTAAGTTCGCGTGTCGGTCTGTTGTTACTTCAATTACATCCATTATGTCTTTAGTTTACGAGCGAGAGAAACAACCTCCGAGTGTTACTTAGAGATCATTCATAGATTTTTTTGAAAATATACTTGTGTTTTATTTTTACAATTATATAATAATTTCAAAACTTATATAATATTTTTTTCTTAATACATACATATTTTAATATTCACTCTAGAATATTAAAATATGTATGTATTAAGAAAAAAATAATGTAGGCAATATTAGTATTTTATGTAACTAAGAATCGTCACATTTTTTGGAGAGATTTTTTATGTAATCGGAATAACAAATGACCCTTAGACCGTACACCCTTTACGGCCCACCTGATAAATGGTAACCGTCAACTATATACGTCACAGCACTACGAAGCCCCGTGATGCTCGTTATATCACCCAAACGTTGCTATTCCAGATGTCTAAGATGTTATACCTCTAATTCTGTAATTCACTACCTTAACACATACTTGAAACACAGCTTACAAAACAAGCTGCATGGCGGCTGAAATTAATGAGCCTGAGATAATGCAGAAGATTTTTGTAAATCTGTCTCAGCAATTAGATATAAAGCAATTAGTTCAGTTCTCAGCATTAGTACTTAGTTTTTGATGAATGAAGTAATAGATTAATGAGGAAAAATAGAATTTAACATTACCAATACATTTAAACAAGTATAAAGATCATTTATTATAATGTTACTTATTAAACATGGTAACATATCCTGGTATCTTCTCATCCTATGTTTATTAAATCCATAATCACATCAGAGTTCATACACACTCTGATCGCAACGATGGCATCATGAATATCGTATCTTTTATCATTACATATGTAAGCAAATGCATTATTATACAAGTATAATATTTGCTTATCAGGTGAATTGCTGCGACCTTTAACTTGATTAGTACTTCAACGTTAACCATCATCCACATTCCGGTTTCAATCGATTTCACCACTTATTGATAAATACGTCTTTCATAGCGTTATCTTTAAATAGTATACCACAAGGCACTGCCCTCGAGAGTCTGATCCTACCTTTACTTCTCTTATGCGGACGGATTAACATTAACGGACAAAGTAATATGGAACTACTTTATCCGTTTTACCTTTTTGGTTCAGAAGCTTAATTAAATTTAGAAAGAGCAAAACAAAGATAGGTCTTAAATTAAAATCCTTTGATCATAGGTGGCTAAAGAGGCGCCTATTGAACATAAATAAAACATCTATCGGTTCGAATTCAGTTTCATATTTTTTCATTAATCAATAGTGGAATATGATGATCTGTTTGGCCTATATATTTCCCCTTTTCACTTTATTATTAAAAGTGTTGTAATACATAGAATAGAATAAATTTATTACAACACGATACAATAATGACAAGGTTCAAAACAAAAAGATAATGAAATTATCAATAAACCTACAATCACAATGATCAAGATTCACAAATATTAATAAGAATGCATACTATTTTAAAAATAGTATTTAAATAAGTGCAAAATAAATAAAGTACATAAAATCAGTTGATTTTATGGCTAACAATTTTTTTTTTATATTTGGAAAAACTCAAAAGCTTGTTGCATGCAAAAACATGCATCCTTTATGCATGCAAGACGTTACTGCCAATCAATTAAATTAATAGTTTTTATTATTTATATCGCCTAAATTGTGAAAAATAATTTCAAGTAAAAACATATTCGCCACAATAATAATGTCTTATAGTGATGAGGACTGTTAATTACATGGAATCTCGACAAGTCTCGAGCATTCAGCAAAAAAATCTTGAGATAAAATGAGGTGAACTGGCCGGCCTGTTGTTGTCACACATATTCTTAAGGAGAAACATGTATGGTGATTCTGTTTTGATTGTAACCCATTTACATTACATTATACAAGTGCGGTTAATTATAAAATAAAACAATTTAAGTAACACTGTGTAGCTATGAAAAAATTCGATTACGTTAGCCTTCAAACGAAATACCTAGTCATAATCCATGTACTTCTTTAGGAACTACAATGCCATAGACAGACACATAGAATTTATAACACACCTCTATCATTATCATCATCTGCTTCTTTCTTATCCCATTTATTTGAGGTCGGCGCAAATTTTTTCTCTTCCATCCCTCCCTGTTCCCAGTCATCTCGTTATTTACTCCCTTTCTTACTATATCATCTTTCACACAGTCGGTTGACGCCTCTATGATGTAATGATTTTATCAATTCTGAACCTATTCGCTAATTCTTTTTTTTTTTTGTTCCGTATTTTTCAAGTTTGAAGCAGACAAGTTCTTTAGGAACAAAATCCTAAATCATATCATTAAATATAATATAAAATTGTAGATATGTACTATGTTAATTTACCAACAATATTCACACATAGTCGTACATAGTTACTTTATGATTAGTACTTTTTATTAACATATTTTTACTCAAAGCAGTGCGTCTGAGAAATTCGTCTCGTAATTAATGAAGATGTGATTGTTTTGGACGTGACTTAAAAGAGTGGGGACAATCCCCCCACAAATGTGGCCACGGAACACTCGTAATGAATCGATCGTAAAACTCGATATCGATATATCGATACTCATTTTCATTGAATGAGATTTACGATGTTTATGCATGCAAAATTGGCGGCCGATCGAGTATCGAATTTTATAGGCTATTCAAAAATCGATTCGTGAATTTTGAATGCTTTCAATTAATTGTTTTGCTGCAAGGTTTTGTTTTATTTTTTGTTACGATTATGAAGTTACGATCCATACATTTTCCTTATCATTACAAATATTATATTTATTATTATCGTTAAATGAATAGAATGTACCTTCTATAAATTTGTTTGACAAAATAATATTTATTAATGCTATTTTTTCAGCTGCATGCAGTACAGGTGCAGTGCGGCTATAAAATTACAACTTCATAATAATTGATATCATCGATTACGCAATTTATCGACATTTCGCGTCCCTATCTGTGAAATGTGAATGCCGCAATGCTTGTGCGCATGCCGCCGCTTTTAATACGGCCCTTAATTACGATTTAATTGTTTTTTTAGCCGTCGAATTGTTCCGATGTCTTCTGGGAATTGACCATAACTGGTTTATGTTACATTTTATGCTCTCATTCTAGTATTCTATTGTTGCTACAAGAACCTTAAACCATATTTGTTGCACAGAATATGTACATAGAAAATAGTGATACTAAAAAACTCGGTAGAAGCTGATGACCAGATTACAGTCATGATTCTAAAGTACCTTACTGTTAACCACGATTTTTTAGATGAGTACGGCCACTTGATACCATATCTTCATGCCAAATTTCATTAAAATCCAAATTTCAAAACCAGTCATGAAAAGTTAACAGAAACACTTTCGCATTTATAACATTAGTAGATGTGGTACTGAGAAAGACATCGTATCCCAATCACAATCAATCACGCTGTCAAAGTCGTAGATAAAAACCTAAAGTTCATATAAAGGTGATAACACATAAAAAGCTATAAATAGCACAACCTAAGCTACAAAAAACGTAAAGACACTGTCGTTGATGATCGAATGAAAATCGATTCTAAATTCACAGTCAAATCGTTCGCCAATTATTCTCCACGCAGTGTGATGCCCAAACTATATCATAATAGTGACATTAGTTTGCAAAATCACGGAGTAATTCCTGCGACATTACCGATAAGTCAACTGGACAATAGCGAGACATCATTAGATATGGCCTCAACTCGACATGGCGATGCGTTGAACACAAATTGTCTGATTAGAGAGCTAAATGCGACGTATTTGCAAGTTGGCATCGATTTATGTTGGCTAAAAGGGAGAGGTATGTGTGTATCATGGCAACACTTGAGACATTGTATTGAGAGGGCTATTAATTATGTTATAGAGTTTATCACTTTAATACTCGATTTTCCTTACTAATCGTAAGTACTAAATGTATTTTAATGAAACTTTAAAATAATACAGCTTATACATCAGAATAACACATAGTCTAGAAATTTCAGGCAAGTGAAATCGCGAGCACAGCTAGTATTATAAATGGATGTAATTTTTGTTACCTCCATATATAATACTAGCTGTCATACTATTTTATTCATCCTTGGAATCTTGGTTGGTGATTCAACCTGATCGTCATGTACTTATAATAAATGATTTTTAAATAATTTACGATATAATAGAAATGTATCTCCAGTACGCATACATATTGCAATTCGAATTTAATATTTAAATGACGTGTAGATTCTTTGATTTTAGTTGCAAATATATATAATTCTTTTATACCACAATGGTGGCAAACAAGCATACAGCCAAACCGACGATTACTCTAGACTACACGAATCAAACACTGGGCGTGTCATGCATGTTGCAGATCAAACATAATTACATATGGTACGGACTATATAACACAATAATATGGTATTTATACCACTACAGTTGTCAGAAAATTACAAAAAAATAGATTAAATAAATAGATAAATAAAATACAAAACACAAGAAATTAAAACTAAATAGAATCTGATTACAAAATGCAGTAAAATAAGATCGCGAAGGGATCCCGATCGTGAATGGCATCTGAAGAATGAAGTACAAAGAATAAATCAGCTAACTCACGTTGTTCTGACGAATTCACTAAGTATTTGTCATGATGATTTTCCGGTTAAAAATATGGAGGTCGATCGGATTGATTTTGCTAGCAATGGCAATATTCCCTACAACTAAAAAAAAATCTCACACTTTAGTAGATCTAAAATTACAAATCATTGTTTAGATCAATAGCTAACCCCTATCCCTTCTTAACTTTCCAAAGCTGCGGGTAAACTGACCTGATTTCGTTAAATATATT